GCTGAGTCACAGGAGAACAGGAAATGACATTAATGATGATCATGGTAACCAAGGTAATAAAGGCTAGATGAGATGGCATGCCAGTCACTCAGAGAACCAGAAAGTGTTAGTGGAACCCTCAAGCTTCAATGAAGGGAATTAAATAGAAGATACATTGTTAAGCCACCATTATTATTTCCATAGCATTATTGTTTAGAAAGCATAGAATCAGCATCAAGCTAGCATGGTGGTGCCCAGGTGGTGCCAATGGACCTTTCTACAGTATCAACCCTAACACTGCTGGGAAAAAAGAGGCTTACAAGGAAAAAAAAAAAGGTTTTAAATGTGATTATCATGAAAAACTTTCTTTAGACACTCAAGATCCATCACCATGTCTAATCTCCACTGAAACAAGGCCTGAAGAGAATAAGTAGCCCCAGATAGGTTTGTTGAAATACACCAGAAAGTGAAATGACCTCCCTGCACACAGAGGTGGGTTCATGCTCCAGGCTCTGTACTGTGTTGCTTTGTTCATAACATGTAATGAATTTCTCAGCAGGTTACAAAACAGAGTGAGTTTAAAAGCATTTTGCCTTCTGTTTGCTAAGATCTTATTGAATATGTTTGCATCGATATTCATTAATGATATGGGTCTATAATTTTCTTTTTTTGTTGAATCCTTTCCTGGTTTGGGCATCAGGGTTATATTTGCTTCATAGAATGTGTTGGGAAGTACTCCTTCTTTTTCCATGCTTTGGAAAACATTGTATAATATAGGTACTAGTTCTTCTTGAAAGATTGGATAGAATTTGGATGTAAAGCCATCTGGTCCTGGACTTCTCTCAGTTGACATAGAAAAAGCGTTTGATAATATCCAGCATCCTTTCATGATCAGAACGCTTAAGAAAACAGGCATAGAAGGGACATTTCTTAAATTGATAGAGGCCATCTATAGCAAACTCACAGCCAATATCATATTGAATGGTGTAAAACTGAAAACATTTCCACTCAGATCAAGAATGAGACCAGGATGCACTGTCTCCACTGCTATTCAACCTAGTAATGGAAGTCTTGGCCATCACAATCAGGCAAGAGAAGGTGATCAAGAGTATCCAAATAGGATCAGAGGAGATCAAACTCTCACTCTTTGCTGATAATATGATCCTATACCTGGGAAATCCCAGGAACTCAACTTCAAAACTCTTAGAAGTGATCAAGGAATACAGCAGCGTCTCAGGATACAAAATCAATATTTACAAATCAGTAGCTTTTATATATGCCAACAATAATCAAGCTGAAAATATAGTCAAGAACTCTATTCCTTTTATAATAGTGTCAAAGAAGATGAAATATCTGGGAATTTACCTAACAAAAGACATGGAAGATCTCTATAAGGAGAACTATGAAACTCTGAGACAAGAAATAGCTGAAGATATTAACAAATGGAAAAACATACCATGTTCATGGCTGGGAAGAATCAATGTTTT